CAGGATGAATGCTTCTGAGGATGAATGGGCTTTTTCATGAGAAGAAGCCCACTCTTAAACTCAATGAACGAGGAGGGATACAGACATAGAAGTTGTTTACTAGAAGTATTATTTTCTTTTTATGGTTCTGCAAGTAATTTTGAATTAATTGTGCCCAAAGGAAAAACACATCTGCACCCTACTGGCCACATGTTGAACTGCATGAGCCCACTTTTAAGTTCGTTGTCTCTTTACAAGGAAGGGAAGAGAAAAATTTAACAGTTCATGTAAACAGTTCTGATTAACAGTCAATAACATGGTGTGAAGAGGACAAACAAATACAGATTTTAAAAGAAAAGGGATCAGTAAGAATTTTTTTTTTAAATCTTTGATTCACCCAGGATGCATTAAACTGGTTAAACTGAAAAATTGAAAAGTGACAATAAAGACTTTTACATTGTTACACAAACATTTCTATTTCAAATAAATGCTGTTCTTTTGAATTTTCATATTCATCAAAGAAACTGGTCTTTCAAATTGTAATATTTCACAGTGATAATGTTTTTACTATTATTTTTGATCAAATAAAATGCAGCTGTGAGCATACGAGTCTTATTCAAAAACATTAACAAATCTTACCTTCCCCAAACGTCTGAACAATAGTGTGTATACCCTGGAATAGTCTAGAAATATTGGGCATAACATTTGCCAGCATGTGAGTGTAAAATATGTGGATTCCCATCTCAGTCAAGTCTTCTTTTAAAGGTACCTGGGAACATTATTCATGTAACCATGTCTGTGTGCACTGTGATTTGTGGATACAATGCTCTTACATTGGGTTGTTTCATTGCAACTATGACGCAAGTTGTCATTTCTAAACAATGCAGCATCTGCTTTTTCAGACAATGTCCTCCTGTGGGCAATGTGCCATTTGCCAATTCAGCAATGGCTCTTGAAAAAACACATGACATTACATTACAGCAAGAAATGTTTGCACAATTCTGCACAATATTCCATCATGGGTTGGAAAAGTAACAAAAGTATTTTTACGTTTTCTCTTTGAGGAAAAGTTTCTCATGTCTTAAAGTTTATATTAATTCATCTAGCATTGCGAATTTACATCAACGTATCAATATGATTCATGAAAAAAATCAGATTGTAAGGAATGTATGCTGTATCTGAACATGAAAAACCCACTGAATCACAAAAAATGTACACAAAATTATAATTATAAATTATGAATGATAATATTATGAGTCTTACAGAAGCAAAATCATAGACAAAAGACTATTAAAGTCAATGAAATTAAGCTAAGAACATTTAAAATATTTAACTGGTCTCCCCAGGCTGGGCAGGCTTTTTGGGGACTTTTCAGATGGTCAAACTGATATTCCAGTTTGCAGATCAGCTAAACCAGCAGAGAACCAATTTAGCTGGGAGACCAGCTAGACCAGTTTAAACCATCTAAGACCAGTTTAGGCTGGTTTAAGACACTTTTTTTTCTAGGTTTAACTCAAACAGCTGAAACACTTCATTTAAGTATTCCAAATACAGGCAGAACCCAAGGGCTGAGAATTAGGTTTAGTGAATTAAATATAGGGCCCTGCAGAATGTCTGATGGCTTTTGAGGCTTTTTATGGGTCAGATGTTAAGTTGACTCATTTTCAAAACAGTTCACAAGGACAACAGAGGGATGACTGTCTCTTTAATAATTCCTCTCTAATTAAAATCCCTCGCCCTTTGCCTACCCGTCCGTGTGAGAAATTACGAATCCTACTATGGAAAAAAGACTTTGCTCATTAATATTTATTAGGTCATGATGCGTTGCTTGGTAACCATACTAACACATCTATCACAAAGCTACTTAATATTCATGAGACAAACGCTCACCATGTGATGATTCGTTAATTCGCCAGGTGATTAGCTAACCGTCTGCATTTCAGCGAATCAGTGAGGCTCACTGGGGGAACGCCACATTCCATAATTAATATTCATGAGCTAATCCTTCAGCATAGTATGATTGGTCAATTTGCGTCAAGTGTGCTTAGGTACACCCGGGGTTCCAAGGATTTGGCGTGAGTGACAGAGCTCGCCTCTGGAGGAAACGGAGCGACTCCAAACCGCAAGGCTCGTGCTGTCAGTATAAAGCAACTTTTAGCATGCAATGTAGGCTGAAACAGGAGTTTGAGAAGTTGTTTGTCTTTAATGGTTTGTTGAATGGAAATGGAGGCAACAGGCTTGACACTGTTCTCGAGACGCTCAGTGGCTACAGTCGCGTGAAAACATTTTTAGGGCTTCTTGACTTTTCACATTCATCCATAGGCTACCTACCGATATATTACTATAAATATAATGTGAGTCTAAATATAGACTATTCTGCGGTCAGTGGCGTATCTGTTGTTTTGAATTTGTTGTCATGTGCATCATTGCATGTATCTGTTTTGGCTTCTGGCAACACTGATTCACTCTTTCTCTTTGAGGTGTTTTGTCTTGCTTGGTGTGTGTGGTTTTGCTTGGGACATTATTTTACATGTTTTGCATGTTTCTATCTAGTAAAAGAGGGATCAATGATATTTGTTAAGTCACTACTGTGCATGGTGAAAAAATGTAAATGTGTTTAGCTTAAAGCAATGACTGAGGTGGGATACATGTAATCAGGTGGCAAGTGCTGGATGCTGCTGCTGTCAGTTTTGTTGAGATTTTTTTTATTTTTTGTTTTCTTTGAAGGTCAATATTTTCTTGGGAAACCTTGGTGCAAACCATACAGTATGTCTGGTTAGAAAAGATACAGCGACTTGAATCAGAAAACACTTAAAAAAAACAAAAAAAACAAATTTTTACAATAATAGTATGTTGTCTTTGCCAAGGTTCATAATGACAAGCACTGTATCAGAGCAATGTCACACACTGTCCAGGATTGGCCCAATTGTTCTCTGAAATCCTGCCTATGAAGGCCTGATTGTTGAACATTCATGTACAGTATTACTTCAAATTCTTCCATTAACAAAGAGTGCTAAACTTAGCTGGAAACTAGTGGTCTCCCAAATTAGGCCGGGTGAACAGGCAGGTCCTTAGTGGTTATCTTCCCTCCGATGTCTCGGTGCGGACATTGTGATGTGCTAGTGCACAAGAGGTCCTCTTATCTCGGTTCTCTGAGAGCAATAAGAGCATATCAGGCTTTTCTCACTGCCACTCGTTCTTTGTTTAAAGCTGCTCATAAAGAACCTCCAGATGCCTCTGAATGCTTGGGATAAAAATATCTCATGTAGATGCCATTCAAGGTTTGTTTACAATAAAGAATAAGAGAAAATTACCTCTTACATTAATGATTACAGTGTCAATGGAATGTTTTAAATGTTAGTATGACTTTATAGTGATTGATTGCATCTAAAGTTAATCTATCCATGAAGTTACACTACCGTTCACTTCAAAAGTTTGGGGTCAGTAAGACATTTTAATGATTTAAAAAGAAGTCTCTTATGCTCACCAAGGCTGCATTTTATTTTATTAATAATACAGTAAAATCAATACTGTGAAGTATTATTACAATTTAAATAACTGTTTTCTATTTTGATATATTTTAAAATGTAATTTATTCCTGAGATTAGGGCTGCACGATAAATCGCATGCGATATTTAACGCGCATCTTATCAGTAAAGCTGGTTCTGTAATCAGCGGTAAATCTCCATCACCTGCGGGCTTTCACATTGAGCAGCATTAACTACACAGAGCCGTTGTTCACTGACGAGCTGCGCAAAAAATCGCGCGAATATGAACGTGGTTTTGCGCAGCTCGTCAGTGAACAGCGGCTCTGTGTAGTTAATGCTGCTCAATGTGAAAGCCCGCACGTGATGGAGATTTACCACTGATTACAGAACTAGCTTTACTGATAAGGTTCACTGACGAGCTGCGCAAAACCACGTTCATATTCGCGCGATTTTTTGCGCAGCTCGTCAGTGAACAACGGCTCTGTGTAGTTAATGCTGCTCAATGTGAAAGCCCGCACGTGATGGAGATTTACCACTGATTACAGAACTAGCTTTACTGATAAGATGCACGTTAAATATCGCATGCGATTTATCGTGCAGCCCTACCTGAGATGCAAAGCTGAATTTTCAGGAGCCATTACTTCGGAGTCTTCAGTGTCACATGATCCTTCAGAAATCATTCTAATATGCTGATTTGCTGCTCAAGAAACATTTCTTATTATGATGCTTAATATTTCGGTGGAAACTGTGATATTTTTTTAAAATCTTTTGTGACATTATAAATGCCCTTACTGTTATTTTTTTAATTAAAATTTTAATTTCTTTAAAGGGTCATATGATGCGATTTCAATTTTTCCTTTCTCTGATGCACGTTAAATATCGCATGCGATTTATCGTGCAGCCCTACCTGAGATGCAAAGCTGAATTTTCAGGAGCCATTACTTCTTGAACATTAAAGCATGTCAACATATTCTGTTACACCAAATACATAAAATAATGATCTTTAAAATAGCATCATATGACCCCTTTAAGTATATTGAATATATTACTGACCCGATAGTGTATGTTAAAATTTCAATGTATTTAGAGTGATGATAAAATTAATAAGCACACATTTAAACAGGAGACACAGTTCAATCCCAAAATGCCTTGTGAATGCATGAGATAAGCTTGCTTGTGTCCGTAGGGGCTGCCAATTAACCCTAATCTTTTGTTAACCGTTTTCAGAATCAGCCAGGTTGCACTTGCAATTGGGAATTGGAAATAGGAATTAAACCCATCTCTAACCCTAACCAAAACCTGCCCAGGACTCAGATAGATGAGGCACCCTTGAAGAAAGGAGTCTAGAAAAATCTTAAGAGGCGGCTATATTAGCCCTGTGAATCATGGGAGGCCTGGCATTCTGGGTGTCCCCTTACATGCCATATAAGTACCCCTTCCTCCCCCCTCCCCACAATGCCATAGTGCTATTGCTCTCGGCAGAGGGGCAGCTATTCTTAGGCTGTCTGTCAAGCTCATTTGAACAGGCAAGAGTCCTCTTCCTCTGGCTCATAGCTCTTCTGTGTTGCTCCAGTTATTTTGCATTAGTTGCAGTTTGGCTGGGCCTGAATTATTTGTTTTACGCTGTTACTTTGACCCTTTTGGCCTGCAGGATTTTTTTTTTTATCGGAGAGGTGTGAGTGTTACTTTCATTTTACACTTTTTTTTCCCTCCTTCTTCTTTCAGAGGCTGTTTGGCACGTGCCCCGCCCCCTCCAAATTCATTTTCCCCATTTGTTCTGAAATTCTGTTGCTTAAACAATACACAGGATTTTTTTGAACAATGAGTTCGTACACCGTTTCCCTCGCTGGACCTTCTCCTTGGGGCTTCCGGTTGCAAGGAGGCAAGGACTTCAACATGCCCCTCACCGTTTCTAGGGTAAGACCCCCAAATCTTGGCCAAAACAGACAGTGGTTCATTAGTTCAGCACCATTTACTCACATACAAATCAATGTAGATTGAGTCTAATCGACTTAATTGATGTTTTCATGAGATTTGTTTGAATACAAAGAATTTTAAATGTTTCACTCAAATTTTAATTCAATTCAATTCAATTCCAGTTCAGTTTAGATTTTCCAAACCTCACTCTCCAATTCACTCTCTTATTATGAGACTTAAAATATGATCCATCATTTCACTAAAGTGTGACTTGGTGATTTGTAGTTCCTTTGGTCATTCATTGTTATCTTGGTACTTGATCCTTTGCTGATCTGGTGCTGATCCAGAGTTGTTTGTTATGTATAGTAATGACGTTATTCATCATATGATGATAATGATTATGCTTCTCCTATATTATTGTGCTATATTATTATTATGCTATATCCTTCTTGATTTGGAAATTTGCATTGGGCATGTGCAGTTTGTGCCACAAAGAAGTGATTGGTATTTTGGTGTAAAGTTTGTGTATTGCCCTTCGGTGCTGTTAGATATTGTGTAATGGATTTTCTGAATAATTGTATTGTCTTTCTACAATACTGCTTTATTGAGGGATCCTGTAAATCAATATTTACAATGTAGTTGTACTGTATTGATCAAATGCATGCTGTGAGTTCATTGCACTCAAGTCGATTCATCCTTGTTCTGCTGTTATCCTTGCTTTTGACATGAAGTCATGATGACTAATGCTTCTCTTGAACAGCTTGTTCTGTGAAATTGTAGTTCGATATATACAAGGAATTCAGCATGAATGAGTGCAAAAGGGTGTTTATGAGGGCTTTATTTTGGCAGTATTGTAAGACAGGAAGGTCAAATATCACAGAAGGGTGAGTTCTCATTGTACTGTAACAATTATAGCTCTGCAAATGCACATAGTTGACCTAGTAGGAGAAACATTTTACTTCTTGAAAGCATAATGAAAACAAACCAGAGAACGATATATTGTTGGCATATGTATGTTTGACTATAAACGTATCTGTTTGTGTGATTGTGCTGGCGTGTATCTGTCAAATAAGAGCACAGTCCACATGCACATTCCTATTCTCAGATGTCTAGTGAGGACAGATTCACTGCTCCAATATGTTGCTGGCATTAGAGGGTCTTGAAAAAATAGATCCTCTTGTGTAAAAAAATGTCAGACAGTGATCGAGTGATCAAACGGTGGCAATACGTGCCACAAAGAGATGATGCACTGCCAGTTTGTCACCTCTGCTAACATTGTCTGCGGTCAGGAAGAATGTCTGTCCTGCCACTATCCTAGGTGGTCCATAGTGTTAGTCATATTATAGTGACGTATATACCCTCAACAGTATCGTAATGCACACTGGAATCTTCTGATGCTTTTCTAGGCATTTTATTTGCAACATTTGACAGCCATTTGGCCTCACTGTACTGGTTACTAAGAATATCTAAATCAAGAAGTGTGTGGCAGGTCTGTTTGTCTACAGGAAAAGACCAGTAGCACAGGGCCTAGTCAGTCACTGTAGAGTGACAGGTGGTACTCAATACATTTGTTCTGGTTGTCGGTTGGCTCAACAGGGGGCTTTTCTATAAAAGTACCTCACAGGTGTGCGGGCCTGCTGTAAAGGAGGCAAGAAGTGTTCTGTTATTATGTATTTAAATCAAGACGTAGATTTACATCTGCTGTGAGTATCACATTAGTAGGTCTGAGGAGGATCCATGTAACTTAAGAGGATGAATATTATTCACCAGCCCACAGGAGACAGACGGCCTGGGTGCTATTTACTGATCAGCCAGTGAGAATTCCAGTTCAGTGCTGGAGACTTTGCGTTGAGTGTTAAAACATGCAATAATGAACTGTTCTGGACCTGTTAATGGGCTGTTGCGATCGAAGAATAATTAATTAGCTATA